GGCTCCAGTCCCCGTCTGCCGGCTGCGCCTGTGCGGCCCCGCCCCTTCTCGCGATATGTGCGAGCGCCGGAAGGGCGGCGGTGCGCGTGCGCGCGGGCCGTGCGGCGGGGGCAGGGTGGGCRCGGGGGATGTCGGCCACGTGCGCCGTGTCCCCGAAAGCGCCGCTGCCGAGGCCGCGTTCCCAGGGCGAGGAGGAGCCGCCCGCCAAGGTGATGCGCAGGGGGCTGCGGCCAGGCCGCGAGGAGGAGCGGGAGCCGCTGCCGTGGCCGGGAGAGAGTGCGAGCGGCATGGGCGCGGAGGCCGAGGCGGAGCAGGCTGTGCCGCTGAGCGACGAGCGGCGGAGGCGACAGGCTCTGGAGCCCAGGGCGCTGACGATGGCGTCAACCAGGGCGGCGGAGGAAGAGGAGCGCCTGGAGCGGGAGCATTTTCGGAGGATCATCAACGCTTTCCGATATTACGGGTAACTGAAGCTCCCCCCGGACGTGGGGCCCTGCCGGGGTCTCTCCGCTCGTGGAGCGGCCTCCGGAGCGTTCCAAGCGGCTCCACGGCCTTTGGTGCCGTCGCTTCCCGGCCTGCGCTCTGTGCGGAGCAGTGTGCCGGGGGCGGGGTGCTGAACGCCGGGTTGGGAACCTGATTCTGCATCACTTTCCTTTCGGGGTATGCACTAAGTCGCCCTGATGTCTGTCCTTTCGAAAGCTTGAAAGAAAGCATCAAACTTGTAAAGGATGTGTTGAGTCAGAAGAGGGTTTGCTGGCTCCATAGAAATGAGCCAGCGATGGTGGGGTCATCATTCACTTTTAGGACTGAATCCGTTGAATAGACGAGGAAGCAAGTTGTTCACGTTGCAGGGTAGTGGAGAGTGGCTGGGAAAAGTCCRGTCTTCTTCGGTGTTTTGGTAACCTGTTACTAGGTTTGGAAACCAGGTTTGTACTTCGGCTGATAAAGCCTTATCATGTGACTCATTACAGTGTGCTGGACCCGTTTTTGTCAATGTAACACAAGCATAAAATTTACATGTAGTGAAGTTCGTGGTAGGACTGGGTAATATTTATATATTTTTTTTCTGTTTGAGGTTTTTCTGTCTTGCGTTTCATTTGTTTTCCTGRACTAGTGTTTGAGCTGGAGTTTGGTCGATGTCTGTTCTAGAGTAAATTCTCTAATTCAGTTTGGACATTTCACACACTTTGTTAATTTAAAGTGTCTAATGCTGACTGGTGCTAATGGGATTCCGACTAATCATTTACTTGCATTGGTGATATGATAGTACTCTYAGGCCTTAAAAGTTGAGAATACCTTTCTCAGCCTCTGCTGAACTGTGGCCTTGGATTGCTTCTGATTACGTGTTCCAGTAAACACATAAGAAAAGGATGACTTAAAATTCCAATAGAGAAATTAAATGAAATTACTTCTTAAAGAAACAGTTCGAAATTTAGGTGAAATTACATATAGTATAATTACATCGATTATCTAATAATTGGATTTTTTTCCAGTTAGCTTGGAATCATCTGTATGAGCAAGGCAATAACACATTGTCAGATGAGTCCTTATATTGTTCTTTTTTTTCKAGAGATAAACAGAGATAACTTCATTATTTGTAGTTTTACTGCTTTCGGTGTATTTTTTATTCTGCTGGATGGTTGTAATTTAGCATAACAGGATGAAAAGTTAGGTTCAAATATTTTTTSCTGATTAAACTTTCAAGAAAATGTTGAGCTAAGCTGATGTGTTTTACGTTTAGCCTCAGTTTATTTTTCCTGTTGTTTCTTTTCTGTTTCTTATCCTTGAATGTAATTTTAAACCAGTGTAGCTACTGCAGTGAACAAGTCCTTCTCAGTAACACAGGAATGAGACATTACCTGGTCAAATTTCCAGGCTGAAGTTGTAACTAAAATGTCAGCATTGCCGATTACTCTCATAATGGCTAGTTTATTTCAGTTTCGTGCTGCTGTATGCTGACACAAGGCTTTGAGAAACTGCAGTATGACTTGACCAGTCAAAATTATTTTGTGGTCAGAAGCGTCAGTATCTCTTACTGAATTCTCTCTCTAGAGTCACCATGACTCTGCTTAGCAACTATATTTTGGTCAGTTTTGCTTCTAGCAAAATCTTGGAAGAGTCACCATTTTTATGATACTTTTATCCTGGAGAAGTGGAAAGTTATTTTTAGCTTGCATCGGTTACACGATTATGTTCACAGTACTTACGAGGGATATGCTGTTAAAAGAAGGTAGCTTAGTATCTTAGCGTGGCTGCCAGAACTCTGGTATGGTCCAGCTGTGATTTTTACGTTTCTTCCAGAAGCAATTGATTTTGGGGATCCCTGTCCCATACCACATCTTGGTAGTAACTGTACCACATCTTTCTGTAACTGAAGCTTATGACAGCATCCAGTTATTGAATCTAAATTGGAGTTGTGACACAATGAWTGGTTGGTTAAATTTTATAGATCCATGTATTAAGGAAGTGATTATCTGCTCTGGAAATAATTGGCTGAGTTTGAAACTGTAAGGAGAAAAGAAAGTCCTCTTAAATAGGAATGTGTTAAAAACAGTGGTAATGTGGGTCTRGAGCTTAAATAAATGTTTTGTCTAAAAATTTTTAGAAAACTTGTTCTCTGGTATGGAACTRCAAAGTCTGTTCACTTTTTGTGGGCAAGGAAATGAATAATTGTAAGAGGAGTAGCTTAGAGTGAATTATTTACATGTGTGTATATTGCCTCTAAATTTTTAAATTTTTTGCTTTTTAGAACGAATATGCATGAACGAGTGAACAGAACAGAGAGGCAGTTTAAGTCTCTCCCAGCTAACCAGCAGAGTCTTCTTCCTGAATTTCTTCCTCACCTTGACAAGATTCGGAAGTGCATTGATCATAATCAAGAAATACTACAAACCATTGTCAATGACTGTGTTCATATGTTTGAAAATAAAGAATATGGAGAAGATGTATGTTAAAATGGACTTTTTTTCATGCTCCTAAATTAAATTCTGTATGCTTTGGGCTTTTCTACATTTGTTTTTCATGTCTTTGGCCTCCAGCTTTGTTTTCTTTTGCCCTCCTTATTTTACCACTTCCTGCTTGCTCACACTTTCTCACTCTTGTCTTTCACATTTTGCAGAGCTGATGCTTAATTAAGCAATTTGTTGTCAGTTCTGTTACTTACACTTATGAAAACTAACTGTACATCTGGCACACTACTGTAACAAGGCATTTTTATTCCAGAATTCTAGCCTTACCCTAGTTATATTTTAAAGTTTTTTACGTTAACTGTATAGAATGTAAGTGGTATTGTTGTCTTTAGGTTTTTATGTTTTAGATCATTGTAAATTGGTTATAATTCTAGATAGGCCAAGTATTTTTAATGTTGTTATTTGTAGACACTTTTTCGCTGCTTGTCCTACTTTCTGTCACAAAAAAGAATACTCAGCCTTAAAGGCAGAGGTGGAAACTGAAGTCCTTCTTGGATACAGGGAAGATACAGTAGTGGGCCATTCTAATGTGAGCTTCTCAGTTCTGCCTTATTAGATCTAAAGGGATCCTTCTTTCTGGGTAATCAGTTCAGCCTCTGCACGAGCTAAGTCCTGGTCCTTTCCTGAGTAAGGACTACCAGTTGTGCTTTGCTATGTGTTGTTTTTCTGGTGTGGAATCTGCACTCTTGAATGCCAAACAGAGACCAGCAAATTCAATTTGTTTAGGATATTAAGGTGGATTTAAGCTCTGGTCCCAGGAATGAAAGGGAAGTGTTTTGTTGGCTAATACTCAGAGCAGCTCTTGCAGCATGGCTTTTTTTTCTCTTCATGATTTGCTTTTTTCCCCCCCAAGACTCAAGATACTTGTTATGTTTTGCACTAACTTTTTTTTTTCTCTCCACTTTATTCAGGGAAGAGGGAAGATTACACCAGCTTCCACATTTGACATGGATAAGTTAAAGTCCACGTTGAAACAATTTGTGAGAGACTGGAGCAAAGAGGGCAAGTCTGAGAGAGATTCCTGCTACCAGCCAATTATTAGTGAAATTGTAAAGAACTTTCCAAAAGAAAGATGGTAATAGTGTTTTAAAAGTTACTTTTATGTGGACATATGCTGTTGCACAAATCTAACCAAGTTTTTACAAAATAATGAAAAGCTTGGTTTCAAAAATAGAGAACGTTGTATGAATTCAGTGGAGTTTTTTTTTAGTCAATTAAAATTTTATTTGAAATACAAGATATCGGTAAGGAGTATAATCGTAACCTTCACAAAGTGATACCAGGTAAACTAGGAATGTTTTTTTTGTTGTTCTGCAACTGGGTGTAACAATATATGTAAATCTTTCAAATGAGAGACTTTAGGAAGTTAACTTAGGTATGCTYAGTGAGGTAGTTTGCAGGTAAGCAGATTCTCAGGAGTATGCTGCAAAAGGAAGGATTGTGACAGCAGAAAGTAAGACTGGTCCTTCATGATCAGAGGAAGAAGACTCTTAAACCAGTGCAATTGCACTCTGAAAATGGTAAATTCTAACCTTGGTTTCAGAGCAGTGTTCTAAGACAATTCTTGAAAAACCTTGGTTGCATGTGTGAGTGTAATTTTGTAAATATTGGCTTGTTCATAGCATCGAAATTGTCAATGATGCTGGGGTTTTAGGTAAGTTAGGTAGAAGCGTAATGGTAAAGTCTCAGGTGATAATGGTATAAGCATTCCACCTATTGGTTCTGATAATTAATCAACCCAGTTATTTAAGGTGTATTTTAGCTTAAACTTAGTAGTCTTACAGCAGGAAAATTTGAAAACTTTCTATTCATAAATGTAACAGGCCCCTACTTAGGTTTGATATAACAGGGTATCGTGGTGTTCTTCTCTGAGTAATTGTTAAGAATGCATATGTACAAATCTGAAAAGTCTCTCCCACTAGCCATCTTTTAGTTTCATTAGTAAAGACTGTTTGTGGTGTCAGAACATGCAGTGTACATGGTTTCTGTTTTATCTTGAACTGACTTACCTAAAGACAGATGCACTGTTAAAAATGTTTTATCTAAAAGTGAACTTTCTGTGATGTTCCTAGTGCTAATAGTCCCCTACATAAGATAAAAAATWAAATACTGCAGGTATGCATGTGTAGATATGTAGGAAAATTAATGGTTAATTTTGCAAGTAATCATTCTAATCTCCAAAGTAGCAGTTCAACTTTTGTATGCTAGCTTGTAGTGGATTCTGCTTATGGGAGAGATAGCTTRTAAGAGATCCATGACTGAGGCTGGAAAAATTTTACTTATACATTTGTCATCAATGAATGCTGTTTTAAAACCTGATACTAGGAAATAACATGTGGTAACAGATGGAATGAATCTAAAGTTGACAGCTTTGGGCTTCTTTATGGGGAATTCTTGTGGTTGTCAAATAGAACTAATGTGGCAGAGCATGTGTTGCTATTGTGGTATCTCTGAAGTACCAATTTAGTTTTGTTTTGTCTCCGCTGAAATCTCAATACATCACTGTATAGGTCAGACATTTCTACTACAAGTTCATTTGTCAAACAGCATGATTTTAATTTCTAAAATGTGTATTGCTTAAATACATACTTAAAAGATTATTATTGTCATTGGGGAGCTGTTGTAGCACTTAGCTAAAACCTTTGTTCACTTATTGTAAGGGAGTGTCAGCTCCCTCTTTTTCCTAGTGGGTGAAGGCTCTTCTTTTTGAGGTAAGAAGCAGAGTCATGTGCTATCAAGCTTAACTGGCAGTGCAACTTTACCTTTGTGCAAGAAGTAACCTCTCTGGCAGGGCTTGCTGGCTGATCAGTCTGGGATTTTTATACAAGTTTTGTACAAATTTTTCACTCTTCAGTGTCAGGACTTGAGGGAATGGCATGAAGCTGAGTCAGGGGACATTTAGGCTGGATATCTGGAAAAGGTTTTTTACCCAGAGGGTGGTTGAGCACTGTAACAGGCTCCTCAGGGAGGTGATCACAGCAGCAAGCTTGTCTAAGTTCCACAAGTTTTTGGACAGTATTTTTAGGCACATGGTGTGACTCTTGGAATGAACTGCATAGAGGCAGGTGTTGAACTCTGTTATCCTGACACGTCCTTTCCAATGTGTCATGTTCTGTGATTCAATGATTTTGGAATGGAACAGTTGTTTAGTTTGAAGGGATTGACAGAGCCTGAAGTGGCTACAGGTGAGTTGTTCTGTTGTTTGTAGTGGGAGAGAACTGACCATGGACTCTCATGTGTAAAATAAGCCTGTAGGTGAACCTCAGAGTGCAGCTTAGCATTTCTTCAGAGCTTCCTTTTGTAGCAGAACGTAAAGTCTCCTGAAAGGATGAAAGTGCTGAAGAAGAACTGCAGTGGATGATGAAAATGACTTTTTCTAAATGTATTTTGTGTTGAAAATGGTAAATACATTAAATTGGAARCGGTTGGTGCAGGTCAGTAGTTATAAAATTTCTGTTTCTCAAGTGAATGGTACATTCAGTTTCCAGTTCATGTAATTTGTTTACGTTCATAGTTAATAATGTTGATACCATGATTGTAGTAATTTGAAATAGGAGTTTAAATTTTTGAAACTACTCAAGTATGTTTCACTTCATGCATGTACATCTTGTAGTGCTGTACTTTGCAGCATTGACGTGTATGAGTTCAGTTGGTTTATAAACGGCAGAAAAAGCAGTGAAGTGTTGTGTATTCTTGCTCCTCTGGGAGGTAGAAGTAGTACAAGCAATGGTTGAAAGTAAATTAGAATAATTTTGTAAATAGGTGCTACTGTTATTATATGTTTCAGTCTGGTCTTCTGATCAGGCTGTCATCTAAAAATGAACAGCGAAAGCTGTTCCTGCCTCTCATTCTTTCTGCTTGGCACCTTAACTCAGAATCTGTTAGCAGGGTTAACAAAGAAGTTCTAAGTAAATGCCATGAGATCACGTCTTCCTGAAGAACTGTCAAACTTCTTTCATTATTCATATTGGAATTCAACTGTGTTTCAGCTCACAGGAGCTCTGTAATATGTAAATTTCTTGGATTTTTTGGATCAGAATGAACCTACTTTCTGTAGGAGACAATAGTAAACTATGGGTACATTTTTATTTCTCAATGAAATGTGTTTATTGATTCATTTTTATAGGRAAATATATAAGTTGAAAATATAAATAAGCATACTCATAATTTTTTTTCTGGTTCCCTTTTTTCTGGTCATCTTGGTTTCTTTTCACTTCTAGTGTTACTCTTCCTGCTTAGATGAAAGAATATAAAGATCATCAGCTTCTTGTCCAAAGGAAATCTATGAAATCACATTTTTGTTAATTATCATTCCATGGCCAAAAATAGTATACTTAGGTATTTTTTTCCAGTTTTCTCAAAAAGTAGGCCTTTGGAATGAACTATAACTTGAATTTCATCTGTGTCATACTGTCCAGCAGTCAGATGTATTTTTCAAGATGCTGACAGAACAGCCGAGAAAAAATCACCAAAGCTTAGTTTGCTTTTAATATAAAAAAGCTTTTTAGTCCTGATCCCAAGCTTGGCTATAGTTCTTGAATGCACTCAGTCACATTTACAGTGGAGTTGAAATTTCTACTTTATTTGAATTTTATTTGACTTAATATGAACTACATTTGTCCTTGTAGCTTTTTGTACTTTACCTAAACTTTCCTTTAAACATTGGATTTAAGAGCAAATATATTGTCAAATGTTACTGCATCACTGAGTGCTTTGCAGGTCTTAWTATGGAAGTATTTAAAACTCAGCTGCCAAGATTGGAGAAGAATTGCTCTTCAAATGATTCTGCTGCTTATCATTTGCCTTTAAAAAAATCTCTGGCAATATGATTGAARTGAACTATCAGAAAAATAGTATACTAAGAATTGGATCTGTTTACTTTGTTTAAATTTACATGCATTATAAATGCTAGGAAAGGATTCTGACAGCATATTCCTATGCTGATATTTTACACTGATGAGAAGCCCATCTCTCTATGAGATGTTTATATATTGTTTTGTTAAAAAATTGCACTGCAGTTTTTTGTTCATGAAGATGAGATTTGTGTTTGATCAGACACTCTCATTCTGCTTTTGCTGAGCTGTGTTTACCCCTCCAGCACCATTACTTTTTATTACAATGGAACAGACATGAAATAAGCCTCCATTTTTATCACGTTAAAAAGGATGCCTTTAAAAAAAAGTTAAAATCTTCATCAATATCAATAGTCTTCTAAAAGCTGAAGATATGTCACGCTGAAAAACATAGTGTGAAAAGGGCATGACAGATTTTAGTTGATTCTGATAYTTCTCCCCTGTTCTGCAGTTTCGTTAGTTGAGCTGAGTAGTACCATACAGCCCTCTTCTCCTCTCCTTGGCCAGCTCCTTTTCCCATGTCTGTCAGGTTAATAGGCTGATGTTTCTTCCCTCTTGGCCCACAGGTATTTAGTGTCTTGTTGGATGTTCATTTATGTTCCGAACTGCTGCTGGATGTGTGTCATAGAAATAAATCCTGCTGTTGCTGGCTGGTTGAAGACTGGTTTTCCTTGTGGGTAACTTTGGGTTATTATGTTACCACAG